CCCTCTCTCGGCTCTTTTGTCCCGCGAGGACCCCCACTTCCCTAAGCGAAATGCTGCTCCATCTTTATCAGCCCTGCTGTCTGTCTGAGCTCTTGCTGCGGTAAATGAAAAGGGAGCGCGGGGAGTTTCGCCCAGCCCCCTTTCCCTCCCCTCCTACGTATGACTTTTCCCTGGGTTACCTCCAGAAGTTTAGGAACTTCCTGTAGGCCTCCTTCGTGCCCTCACGGCCTCAGTCACCAGTCTCTGTCTCTCTTTCGCAAGTCTCTCTAGGGAGAAGAATTCTTTTTAAAGAGCTAACAAAGAAATAGTTCTTGCCGCCTAGCAAACGGCAAAGCTCCATTCCAGAGTGGCTTCCTCCAAGGCCGGGAGGAGACAGGTGGTGGGGAAGGTGGGGACATTCTGATACGGAACAGCTGGCCTTCATCAGTCTTGGTGAACGGGGATGGGGTGATTTGTGCACAGTGCAGCACCACACATAGTAGGTGCTCATTAAATATCTGTTGCGTTGGTTCCTAGGCTCCCCGTCAGTGGCCCAGAAGTCAGAACTGCCCCCCCGCACCTCCAACCCCACACGGTCTCGCTCCCATGAGCCAGAAGCCATCCACGTCCCCCACCGAAAGCCCCAAGGTGCAGACCCAGGCTCCTTCCACTGCCTTGACACCCCGTTCGCCAGGGTCGCGGAGGTCCAGCAGCGGCTTCGGGGTCCCCAGGATGGGAGCAAGCACTTTGTGAGGTCCCCCAAGGCCCAGGGCAAGAGTGTGGGTGCAGGCCACGTGGCCAGAGGGGCAAGAAGCAAACCCCCTCTGGGACCCGCCGTCCCTGCGATGTCCCCGTCCGCCCACCTGGCCACCAGCCCAGCCCTCCTCCCCACCCTGGCACCCCTCGGGCACAAGAAGCACAAGCACCGAGCCAAGGAGAGCCAGCAGGGCTGCCGGGGCCTGCAGGCGCCGCTGGCCGTGGGCAGCACCGTCGCGGGGCGGGACCACATGAGGGAGCTGCCCGCCGTGGTGGTGTACGACAGCCAGGCCGGCCAGGCGGTCCAGAGACACGAGCACCACCACCACCACGAGCACCACCACCATTACCACCACTTCTACCAGACATAGGGCCCCTCCCAGAGCCCCTCCCCGTCATATGAAGGACCCCCTCCCCCAAGTCCCCAAGGCATTATTATTCTATTAATTATTGTTATTATGACGATTATTGTTATTAATAATTATTGTTACTCCACTAATATTCAGCTAGCCTCCATGTAGAAGATATATGGAAACACAGAACTAAACTTTTATTTATATGTTGTGGGGACCGCTTAACTTACCCAAGAAGTGACTCTGGGTTTGGAAGTGGCCTGTAGATGGCAGAGGCTCCCTCGGGTTCCCAGCTGTGGTTTCTTGCAGGCCCACCCCCTTCC